GAAGAAAAGTGCCGCTGAGAGCCATCGATTATGGTCGGTAACTTATGGTTCTGACCATAAAATATCGATTAAAACATGCGAGTACTGGTTTCGACGCTTCAAAAGTGGTGATTTCAACGTGGAAGACCAAGAACGGTCAGGTCAGCCAAAAAAGTTCGAAGATGCAGAATTGCAAGCATTATTGGATGAAAACTCGGCCCGAACCCAAAAAGAACTCGCAATGGAGTTAAATGTAACTCAAGCAACCATTTCCGGACGTTTACATGCCATGGGAAAGATTCGAAAGCTAGGAAAATGGGTACCACATCAACTGACTGAAAATCAACTCAAAGCACGAATCACAGCATGCAGAGAACATCTCAAAGAACACAAAAAACATAGTTTTTTGGGTCGAATTGTCACGGGCGATGAAAAGTGGGTCTATTACGACAACCCCAAACGTAAAGGAGCGTATGTTGATCCAGGCCAACCAGGACCATCGCAGTCAAAACGAGACATTCATTGCCAGAAGGTTATGCTGTGCATTTGGTGGGATCAAAAAGGTGTCGTGTATTATGAGCTGCTAAAACCAGGTGAAACGGTTACAGCCCAACGCTACCGCATGCAATTAATCAAAATGGAGCATGCATTGAAGATTAAACGGCCACGGATAGCGTCTAAACAAGACAAAGTTGTGTTTCACGATGATAATGCCAGGCCACATCGAGCAGACATCGTTAAAAAAAAGTACAAGACTTCGGTTGGGATTGGCTTGATCAACCCGCGTACTCTCCAGACCTTGCTCCTTCTGACTACCACTTGTTTCGATTGATGCAAATGGGATTGTCCGAGATATCGTTTCGAAATCCTGAAGGAGTGCGAAAATGGATCGATGAATGGATAGCCTCAAAAGATGAGGAATTCTTTCGACGCAGAATCGACAAGCTACCAAGAAGATGGGCGGAAGTCATAGCAAACGATGGGCAATACATTGGTTAAAGTACTCATTCTTGTTATTTTAAATAAATGTTTCTTTTCACACAAAAATCCCTCAAAATTAATTTATACACCCAATAATTAAAAATTTATAGGAAAAGTGTCATACCAGTAAATGCCTCGATTTGCTTCACATTCAATTTTCATGAAATGTGTCAAAATATACTTTATTTTCCTTTTATTCGTGTTTTGTCAAATATTATCAGTTTTTTACTGGCATTTTTTTGGATATGAACGTTAAAAGCACCAACATGACATCTTTTACAATTTTCTTTGTGTATTTCAAGGTGAAAAAAGTATTTTAATACCTTCTACAGCTTGGTGAACATGAAGGGAGAAGGTGGGAGTTAATTCCAACTTTCGGCGGGGTAATTTAAAAAAAAATGTAAGACATCAACTTTTTAAAAGGCACATCTATCATTCGAAGTTTGTGTGCTTTACATTATTCATTTCTTTCACTTTACAAAAAAAGGTTGAATGTATAATAACGTTGAAGTCATATCGTTGATATAGAATTTATAGAGATTCAATTATAAATGACTAAGATTTAAAAATAAAGAAATAAAACGTCCATAAATTATTGATTGTAAATTTGGTGGGTTTCGAAATTAAATTATGCGATTTAATAATATTAAGTGCGTGTGTGGAACAAGTAACATCGTTTTGAGATTTGCATTGTTGTTGTGCGAAGCTTCGCTAATTTGCAAATTTGATTAATTACAATAAAGCCTAATATTATTGTCTACTTTTATGTTGTCTATAAATCCATGCGTGACCAATTCCCTGATTAAAACAAATCACAATTTACAACCAGTGAAAGTGTATAAATTTTCAATGTCAAAACAAATATAATGCCAAGATCTAGTTAGTAATTTCAATGGAACATGTACCAGTAATGTGCAATATGCATTATGCAATACAACATTAATAATAATATATGAAGAATTGAACTTATAACTTATAGGTTCGTCTCAATCAAATTAAGATTGCTGCTGCTATTCTCCATCTCAAACAAGAACGTTGCTAATTGCGTTATGCATAAGCATGCCTTTAAATTTGTAATTTTAATTAGTTTATGTCGTAAATGCAAAGTAGTTCATTAGAGTTATATTTCATTTTGTGTACAAGTTATGGCTTGCATACAACATAGAGAATGCTCTTTTCTCATGAAGGTATACAATAGTGCGAACGACGATTTAAAAAAAACATCGATAATGGATGAAAACTTGTCTCTATAACTTTTAAGCACCATATCAAGTTTTTTGGTTTATTTTTCCATTTTACTCAGCTCAGAAATATTATTAATTTCTGGTTGTGTGTTTACAGTAAAAATACAGTAGAGAACACAACAAAAATATTTTTCGTGTTTTCGACTGTCTTTTCTGCTGTTACATGGCAGGCTCATATGAAACTCTCGGAGACTCGGTATAATGCACACAAAAAGTGAAAAAAATTTGTTTACTAAAATTTATCCAAAAATAAATGAGACTTCGGACAAACTGAATTTTATGTCAAATCGTCTCATATTGAGGTTAGGTGTCTTTTGCGTGTGCAACAGCTTTAATTTTCAAAACTTGAATTCCATCACCAACATAAACAATATCACGGAAATGTCGAAAATTTATAGTCAGACGTTATTTGTTCTATGGTTGTAAAACAATTGCAACGCCAGCCAATATCCATTTCGATGGTTTCTCTCTTGTTTTCAAATTAAATGTCCATATATATGTTGAACCACGTAAACTAAAACGAGACAAATTAAATGCCATGCAATTGAATGAAAAAGAAGCAATATAAATGGCAAAGTTTTTCGTTACCGAGTTCTATAGATCGGACATTCAAATACGTTACGCAATTCTTGTTTGTCCTTTGTTATTGCTTTGATGTGAATGAGTGGCATTTCGAAGAACAGCTCTTTGAGTCGTGAATTCACCAATGAATTTATCAAATTGTCCCATCTAGCTCCTTCTAGGACTAGCCCATCGATATTTGCACCGTCTCGTGGGCACTCACTTCAATTCATACGAAGGTAAATCGGAATTATTGACAAATTGAACATGAAATGAGTGAAAGTGCAGAATAAGAAGGTACTTAATGTATAGTTGTGTGAGCATTGCACATATAATAATAGTATATAGTGAGCAACAAATAACGTACGTGTAATCTTCTCTATGTTTTCCCGTAACATCAATTGTCAAGCACATTCTATCTAATGGCCATTCATTTTTCCGTGCTGAAACCTGCATTATGGCAGTCAAAAAGCTTTGCGGATTAAACAGACCCGGCAACCATACGGAGATCGGTAAGCTAAAGTCAATTGACCACTTGTACAGTTCTTGATGTCGTTGCAATAAATTTGAAAACCACAATTGTAAACCGAGCGTACTCGGATATGCTAGTTTTGTCCATGTTGACGGCATTCGATCAAATACAATGCATTCATCGAGCAATTCCATTTCAGGCGTAATCGTTAATTCGCCACGATGGCCAAGCATCAGCTCTCGCAGTGATCGTCTCATTTCGCTCAATAATTGATTCATTCGTTCGCATTCCTGATACACAACCACAACATACGGTGTTCGTTCTTCGAACCTTGTCATAATCTCAGCCATATGAAAATCGTCCGGTATTTTATCTTGAAATTCTTCAATCAATTGTTTAACCGTTTCTTCACGTGATACCAAAATCACCGAACTTGATCCAGAGTCTCTGGGTTGAAGTTCAAATATTTCGGCAAACATATTATTCGATAGTGTGGTTAAAAATCCAATTTCCGCATTCAAATGCATCCTTTTCCACACAAGAAAATAGAAAATATTTGAATCATAAAATAAGTAATAAATAAGTTTTTTACCCATATAGATGTGGTGATTCGTTTGGTAAAAAATCATTAATATATTGATGATAACCAGTTAAATCTAAATTTGGAGGAGCCTCAAAATGGGGACAAAACGATAAATCTCCCGTCAATAAACCGGACTGCATGAATTCATTAAGGTACGTTCGACACAACCGTCTATCCCAATCGTCAGTGATATGACCACCATACATAATCTCACCGAATAAATAACGCAAATCATTCCATGGTATATTTCGATTTCCTTCCAAATAATTGAAAAGAACATAAACGCTGATTGTTAAATCTCCAATGCTAAACGGATACGATAAATTCCATCCAATCGGACCGAATTTTCGGCGTTCACAAACACAAGCATGAAAGTAGCACAGTGAAAATAAAATTGCCTTGAATTCACCTTCCTTCGAGCACAATTCCTATGGCAGAGAAAATGAATAACAATAATAAATAAATGTAAACACAAAAGATGTTTTTCTTTTTATGTTATGTTTTTCTTATTATTTATCCGTCAAATGATATAACTTACCAGCATTTCTTGTGTAAAATTGTCTAAAGCTCGATGTAAATTTGCTTTGATACCAGTCGGCGATTCGTTTGTTATTTTTATCGATGCTTCTAATATACCTTGTGGTATGCTATGAAAATCTGGTGATGGTGCCGCTTCGGCGCTCAAAAATAATCGAAAATTTGGATGGGCCGTTTCGAGTGTTTCTTCAATAATTTTTTCCAAGTGTGGTAGCCACTTAGTGACCAAATGAATGTTTTGTAAAACAACCCAATGGCCATGTTCTCGTCCCATTTCAATTGCCATTTCGGCTAATCGTTCTTGACCTTGACCCAATGAAATGTTATGATAGTTCTGCAAATCAGTTGATATGTTCATGGATTTTCCAAGCTTTTCAACATCTTGTACCGGATCAACTCCGGGCGATAAAATAAAAAATAACGGTGTCGATGCACAGCTCTCCATAAATGATTCGACAAATGGAATTGTTCGAACGCCAATGTATTTTTCGCCCATTGTTTCTTCGACAAAACATGTGGCTGCATATATCATTCGATCGGGTCGTAACGTACGTAAAATGCATAATTTTTGCATTGGTGTTCGATTTTTCCATTCGCCTGGTAATCGTTCCATTTCGGGTGCTTCACTTTCAATGAATTTCTTCCAACGTTTTGTCGACAAATCAAGATCACGATCAAACCCATAAAAAGCATCAATATTTGATAATGCCTTAACACCGCCCCATAAATGCTGTGGCAAAAAATCAAACGGCGAATGTAGATTTGGTAAATACGGAAATCTTAGCACAAAATCCAATTCACTCAATGATATGTGATTGCTGTGAATCAATATTTGAAATACCAAATGCATTTTATACACAAGTTTATCCTTTTCAAATAGGCCACGACACGTGTAACAATAAACCGCATACGTAATTGAATCGAGCAATGCGAGCACTCTGTCTTTGGTTGTATTTTGCTTTGCCGTTTGATTAATAGCTCTCTTGAACACAACAATAAATGCCTTCAACGAAAATTGGTACATCGGATTTATTTTGCACAAATCGTTCAAAATGAAATATAAAATTGATGCACGTTCGGCAACACAACGATATATTTCACGGGCCGTATCAATTTCTTTGGTTGTTATTCTTGTCTCTGTAACTTTTACTTCGATTTCGGCAGCCATTTTTTTTGTCTCTTCCAAATTGATAACTAACGATGGATCAGAAAGTACATTATCGCCGGCAGCCGCAAGCCGGGCCAATAATTCATCCTCCAATGATTTTAATGTTATTTTAAAATGATTTTGTTGCATCGTTAGCTCTTGCTTCGATTTTTCCAAATCGGGACGTTCGGCTTTAACCACTTCGGCTAATAGTTGTTGTTCCAAACCTTCTCGTGTCACCGTGAAATTTATCAGCGTTGTTTGTGCCTGCATTTCCGGTTTATAGTGTGGATTTCCCAATTTTGTTTGTAAAATCAAACGAAATTTTGGATTGTAATCCACCTCTTTGTCGCCGATTTTGATTGTTGCGCCACGCTTTGAAAATTGACGACTTAAAAGAGCGTCCAGCACCGCGTCTATTGTCTCGTCAATGTTTTCCAACAAAACCGTTTGCCCAGTGGCAATTGCTTTCTCGATTTCTTCCAAATACGATTTTTGATTTGGACGCAAAATCACCAACGTTTTTCCATATTTTTGCCGTATCCATTTCACTCCTTGCCTACATCAATAACAGAAAATATTAAAATGAGAAAGAAACAATTATTTTTTTTAATAATATATCTGCTACTAAAATAACAAACAAACAAAAAATAATGACTACAACATCTTCTTCTTCATTCTTTTTTTTTTTTCGTTTTCAATATTCTTATTTACAATTGTGGGTCGATAATTAGTGGCCAGCGCGTAGAATTTGTTAAAATAATCGCGTTTTCTGTAGACATACGATCGTTAGGTAAACCTTCGTTGTGCCATGTAGCGATGGTAGCATCGTCGCAAATTAAATTCAATGAATCAATACCTTCGGTGTGTGGGATTTCAGGCTGTGTATATATAGCGAGAAAGAGAGAGAGAGAAAAGGGTAAAATTCGCTTAGAGCAATGAACAAAACGTCGAGAAAAAATGCACCTTTAATTCTCTGAAGGTTGGCTTCCAAATGTTTTCCTGTAGTTCATGTCTGTATATTGGTATAAATCCTCCGACATACGAAATAAAACATGAAATCAATAAAATATCGCCAGGGAGTTTTTCAATTTGAAATCGAAGTCTGTGAGAGAATAAATTACAAAAAAATAAATAAATAAATCCCGAAATAATGGAAATTTTTGTTTTGATTTAAACGAACTTTTCAACTGATTGATGCCATCGAATCGCTTCTGATCCAAGGCCATTGACAAGTCGATGAGCCAATGATATGGTCAATGCCGTTTTCTCTGCTTCAAATTCTAATTTGGTTTTTTCTGCGATGGCTGTCTTGAATTCTCTTTGAATCGAATTTAAACGAGACTCGATTTCCTGTACAGAGAAAAAAATGGCCAATAATTTGTTTCGTTGGTAGTTTCTCTCTTTTTTTGGTTCGGCTTCAGAAAAAACCGAGCGCCAACCCACCATAATTTTATTGTTAAGGAAATTCAATTTGTCTTGAGCTGCTTTCAATTCGTTTTGTGCATCTTCTAGGGCTCTTTGCTTTGGCTCAACTACCAAGAAAACGTTGTGAAAGTTGTGTATATTAATGACCCATGCACATAAACCGCTTGCAGCGGTCGATTTGGCGAGGATTTTTTGTGGATCAAATTCCGGATCCTAATAAAGATATTTCGTCATTAACCAATTCGTTGTTGCTTTGTTTTTTATAAAGAAAATTGAAAAGAAGTAACACGTGTTAATTTAAAATTGAAAAACTTTACTTTCAAGTACGGTTGTAACGCTTTGATGACTTTTGTCGGTATATTCTCCTTTTCAAAGTTCTCCAATCTATGCAGAAACTTGTCAACGGCGCCCATCATTTGCTATCAACAGCCATACCGAAAAACAGCGTAAATAGATATAAAACCGTATAAAAATCATAAATAACAAGTTTTAAAGATCGGATGAAGCATAAACAACAACAAACTTTGCACGCTCTCCATGTCCTGTCTTTGGGTATTTTGCCTTTTCCTGAAAACAATACCAATACCGCTGCACAGACGTGAATTACAGCTTTTGGAGGCTGCCCAAACGATTTCAATTCCGTTAAATTGTTTTTGTTCAGTGTATTTAGAGCCTCATTTGCAGCGATAAGTGATGGTTCGGCTTTTCGTAAATCCGCTTCGCATATTTTTGCTTTGATCGTTACATCTTCCTCAATTGCTCGTACTTTTCGTTCTTCGTCCGCAGCTACATTGAATTTCGAAACATAGTGAATGTCATTTTGGTGGAAGTAACAATATCTCTTCATTAGCACACACTATAATACCTATTAGTTTTTCCTTTTGAACAATTTCATTTTCTGCACTGACGATTTTAATCAATTTATCAGCAGCTTCATTTTTAGCCTTGAGCGTTGTTTCTTGTTCAGCTAGAACATACTAAAATAATCAATCGGATTATAACATGATTTACTCAAATCACTTCGACTTAACTCCATTTCAATTCATCTAAATGGTATCAATTATACGCTCAATGCACACATACACACACAAACACATAAATAATAAGCAAACATGTATGTGTCAATGATTAATTGAAAACGTACCTTCAGTGAATCAACTTGATGTCCACACTGTGCTAATCGAATCAATCCATTTTCCAAGCGCTGTATGCGCTGAATGTGGTCGTCTGTCTTTTCGGTTAGCAATTTTGAATACAATGAAATGAGTTCGAGATATGACTTTGGTGTTGTGTAATTATGACGCTTTTCGTTGGTCAAATAATTTTTCGAAATATCATTAACGCTTTCCAAAACAAATGCCATAAATACGGAAACCGATTCGGTCAGATAATGCTGAACATTCGTAGAAAAGAACACAATGGTCATTCATATGAATACATAACATCAACTGAGTATGTTGTTACAACGCATTTTGAATTTTTAAGAGTAAATAATAATGGTGACCTGAAACGATTGTTTATGTACAGAAAGAGCACACTCAACGAAGAATCGTAGCAACATGTATCTTATATACATTAGTGAGAGTTACACGTCACTTACTTTTGCCCAGACACAGTTATATAATAAAAATTCACTAAACACTAATATGTGGTGCCTAATTGGTTGCACGCAAAAAACACAATATTATGTGAACGAACACTCAGAGTAACACAGTAAGGGTGTAAAATTAATAAAAATATGTTCCGCCCATGCCACCATTATTCTCAACAACTCAAAATGCAAACTGCTTTCTGTTCTGTTCACTATTTGACTTACTGGTAATACGTCGACTTTTAACAGAAATTTTTTGGCCACCGACTCTAAAGCGCTCTTGGGCCATTCATAAAAGAAATTTATAGCGGTACAATTTACTAGGGCGGGAAACTTTCGAGAGCGACGTCGCAAAGTGGAACCGACCGGTGAAAAACATAAAACCACCTGTATTTAAAAAATTTATTGGTCTCACATGTACGATATTAGGGGCTGCAAAAACTCACAAACAAAATGAACGAAAAACAAACCTTTAGTAATTTTTTTACTTTCTCAATGAAATACTTCCAGCAATTTTCTCGTGTATCGATAATGCCGAGTTGTTTCACCTCATTTTTAACCGAGCTTATAATGTTATCGGTTTCTTCATCCGTGAAAAGGTCGGGAATTTCACCACTTGCCAACAAATCATTAATCAGAACCAAATATGATTCATCAGCAACTTGAGCATCGGTTAGCAAAAACATTATTGACATATTCTTAATGCCAACTTTATGGTATAGAATATTTAAATCGGATCGTAGGTCATAGATGCTATATCCCTTTCTCAATTGAATTTGATACACCGACAATGATGAAATAAAGGCACTCAATCGTGCTAATGATTGTTTACCGCTACCACCGACACCTATTAGCAATGCATTACCGCGAGGCATTTCCAGTATTCGATTGATCCGACAAATATGCGACATGGCATCTTCAAACAAAACCAAATTCATTTGACCGACAAACTCATTATAACTGTGCATTGCTTCGGCCAATAAATTTGTAAGCGTTGGCCAATTTTTAATTTGCATGTATTTCGGTTCATTGAGACCATCGGCGAAATGACAATAAATCATCGGTTCACTAAATACTTTTGTATCGTCAATTTCTTCCAAATATTTTTTGAATACATCACGCACCAGCTTTTTGAATGCCTCCAAATCGGAATCGTCGATAAGTTTATCGCTGTATACACGAAATGCTTCATGAATATAGAGCCGAGTAAGATCTTCATATTCTGGGCATGTGTCTTTCGTGGCAAACAATAATCCTTGATAAATGTTTGCCAAATCACGTAAGTTGAATATGTAATGGAATTTAAGGGCTGTTGGTAGAAAAAGTTGCGCACATCTACTATGCAAATTCAATCCCATCGAAACGAGACTTTTGCAGATACGTTTGTGATGGTAGGTAAAACGTTTACTATCATTGTTCAAATGTTGTGATAAAATTGTATGATAAATATGAAATAGTGCCGCATCATTTGGAAAGTTGACAGCAAATGTGAAGAAGTGCCGTTGTAACCGTGAATCAATCGTAAACTGTCCAGCTGTCGGACACATTGCACACAAAAATTGACAATTGTGAATTTCACGGAGAGTCAACTTTGATCTATCGTACCAATGCCCATAGTCCATAAATTGTCGTATTATTTGATGCGGACGAACCGTTTCGAAGTGATCCTTTTCGGGCATATTTAAGTCATCGATAAAATATATCATGAACTTTGAACCAATTGGTGCATAATTTCGGCCTGCCTTCTTTTCCAATGGTTTTTCCAATATTTTCTGTAAAATTTCCGATGAAGTGTAATAGTTTAATGGGATATGGGTCACCAAATAATTGTCATTCAAATTGGATAATTTATCGTTGATTGTAACCGTTTTTCCGCTTCCCGATACACCAACTAACATTAGCGGTAGTTTTTTATCCAATAAAATGTCCAAAAACCATCTAAGACATACATTTGTAGCAGTCGGAATGATACAACACTATAAATAAAACAGATACAAACCAATTTCGATGGAAATTAAATATATGATTGACTCTTGTAACGACCCACAGAGGAAATTAGTTATTTTTTTATTAATATATCAAGTGATAATAAAGTGTGAGTGTAATAAAAATGTGTACCTGTAATGGCATATCGGTATCAATATCATATTTTGGTACAAGATCTTCCCATAACTTAACTTGTTTCGTATTATTATCGACATAATAGTCAAAAACGCATGAATTATCCGGAAATTGAATGCTTTGATATTCATTTATCCAAAATTTGCTAAACTCCATACGCCAATCGGTTTGTTGATCTTCAAAAAAACTTGAGCCAAAGCCCCAGATTGCGGCAAATATAAAGTAAATTTCGTACCAATCTTTCGGGCAATTTTTCGGCACATTCTCAGTCGTTAATAAACAATCGAGTAAATGACACGTCATTTGGACCAATGATATTTCTGGTATTGGTGTGATTTTATTGAATTTTTTATTCGCTTCAAGTAATGGTGGAATATAACGATCGAATAGCAATAGCAATAAATCGTTTGCATCATCGGAATTATTTCGATTTTTTAACCACGAAGCGACGATTGGAAACCATCCAAGGACCGTGTCATTTACGTACAGTATACCGGCTATATATAAGAAATGCAAATGCATATGTATCGTAAAAATTAAAAATTCAAAGTCAAAAGTTGTAAAGAAAATGTACCTCTTGACACTGTTGCCGGTGTGGCGCTTTGTAAGTGACCCACCTCAAATAAAAGTCTCATTTCCTTTGTAAGTGCTATGCGCTCATTGCTAGCTAACGTTAACACTTTGTTATCGTCCATGACCGTATTCAAACTCTCTATCCACCTACAAAAGCACGATGTGATTTTTTTTTTTTTATTCAAATCCGGATTGAGAGGTTCGTGTTATCTTCGGGTTTTGTATTTAAAACGCAAAAGTTTAAATTGGCAAAATATAACTTACATTGGGTCGATATCACCATCTAAAATGATCCATTTCGGATTGTTATTTGCATATTTTGCCTGGTCCCTTATCAACGACGAAAGAAGACCATCTTTCCATTCGCGCGTTGCCGCATTGATAAAACCAAACAGTTCATTGTTTGACACACATTTTGGATTCAAGTCATACACCAAAGGCTTTCGCTCCTGTTGAATGTATGTAGCATTCAATGTCTTCCAAATTTGAGATTTACCATTACCGGCATCGCCCACTATAAAAACCGAATGACGCACAGCTAACAATTCCTCTAATTGAACAACCTACAAATTATACAGAAATCAATTTTTACATTATCCACACAGAAACAAGTATTCGAGTACGCTTACTCGCACTTGCGGTGTTAGTAGAAGCTTTACCTCTCAAAATGAGTTACGCACTCTATTTTTGGTGTTAGTTTCATCGAAGTAAACGCATCACAGTGAAAAAAGAGATACATGTGCAATACATATGTACGTTGTCGCATGCGTTCAACGAGTTATGTTTCGTTGCGTGCATATGAGTCTGTGTATACGCTAACGAATATGATTGCTAAGTGTATCATCACATATGTTCGATGAAACTAACACCAAAAATAGAGTAAAATAGAGTAACTCATTTTGAGGGGTAAAGTCTCTACTAACACCGCAAGTGCGAGTAAGCGTACTCGAATACTTGTTTCTGTGCATGCTCGCCAATTTTCTGTTACGCATTAATGATTTGATTTCAGATTACTTTTAAAATAAAACCATCTTCGGCTTCTAAGTTGAGCTCAAGAGCCGATTTTCGAATTAATTTTTCAAAGTCGGTCGATCGCTTTCGCGGCACATCAATCAATGGAAATAGATCTCCGATCAAACCCATAAACACCGGTATATCGTCAGAAACGATTTTCGGAATGTTAAAATCACGTAAAGCTCTCATCAACACTTGCTCTTCGGGACGTTGGCGATCACTTCTCTGTATTATATATAATTAAAAAACACTTCTTTGGAAGTTCTCACTGTGACGCAATACTGCACATCAAATCTGAAAATGATCTGATATAAATTTTCAGTGACGCTTGCAATCAAATACACAAACAATTTTTATATTGCGTTGCCTCTCTCATTCTTAGAAAATTAAAAATGAAAATAATTCCCAAGAGGCAACGCAATATTAAAATTGTTTGTGTATTTGATTGCAAGCGTCACTGAAAATTTATATCAGATCATTTTCAGATTTGATGTGCAGTATTGCGTCACAGTGAGAACTTCCAAAGAAGTGTTTTTTACTTATATCATTTGTTTTAACATTAAATTTAATTTTTCTGTTTGAAATCTACAAATTTTTTTGGCATGCTCAGAGCTGTCAACGAACATTCGTTCGTTCGTTCGTAGGCAAAAAATATTATTATTTTGTTCGTTCGTTCGTTCGTAGAAATAAATTGCGTTCGTTCGTTGGCGCACACTACCCAGGGGGTCAAAGTACCCGATTGGGCTCAAACTTCACACAATTTTAGTGATTAATTAGTGAACATTTGTGACGCAATTTTTAGAATTTGTGACGCTCCAGAAAAAAAGTTACAGGCCTAAATTTGAAAAAGCCTATTCATCAAAAAGTCTATAAATGAAATTTTGAAAAATTCGAAATAACACAAAATTTCAAAAAACTAATGATGCAGTATTTTAGTGATTAATTTGTGATTTCCAAAAATATTTTGAAAATTTCGATACGACATCTGGCGGACATTTTTTGAACAAAAAAGTGAAAATTGCGCAAAAAAGAATTATTATCGAAATTTCGAAAAGGCTTTCAATAAAAACAACCGTAATCATAAAAATTCTTCGACACAGATTTAGTGACCAATTTGTGATTCCCAAAAATGTCAACATTTGAATTTGTGACACACTCCTTGGGACAGAAATGTCAAATTTTCGATTTTCGATTTTCATACTAAAAGTCGAAAATCAATGAAATTTTTCAAAGCGAATACTTAGTTCTAAATAAATGGTGTCATATTTTAGTGACCAATTTGTGACTCTCAAAAATGTCATCATTTGAATTTGTGACACACTTCTTGGGACAGACTACACTATCTACCCGAACTCCAGTTTCCGAATATGTCATTTTTCGGAAAATTGTTTCTGGTGGTCAAAAATGGACAAAACCAAAAATTTCCTTTTTTTTTGAAACGCCACCTAAATTGAAATTTTTTATTTTTTTTGCGGATTCTTAATTTGGTGCCCGAGCACTACTAAAATATGCAAAAACCCTTTTCCAAAAGTCAGCGGTATCGATTTTCATTTCTTTACAGTATATATAGAGTGACGCAAAAATATATATATCACATACAAATATGTGTATAGGTATGTTGGTATTGCGTCACTTTGGGGACTGCCGTCCCCCGTGATAAGCAATTCAATGACATTTTCTTAAAAGATATGCAACAGTAAACTAGTGTGAATAGTTTGAAGTAAAAGAAAATCCAAAATTTAGTGAGCTCAATTCAAAGAGTTCAAAACCATCAATGTAACAACTATCATTATACTTTCATTTCAGCTTGATTTTAATAATATATTATAGATGGTGAAGGAAACGACTATACTTGATGACATTTCATTCATAATTATTTATACCTTAAGTGTACCAGCAACAACAAGCACTGATTTAACCGCTCGCAAACCCCAGTCATAGTGATCTTGATTGGATAAAAGCTCTTTGCACAACGTATACAATGTAATAAACTTTCTAGCCAACACTCTTGCTTCCTGAAATCCTTCCGCCACTAGCATTATTTCACAAATTAATGCAATGTCAGCAACAACCATTGCACACGGTCGAAAAAGTGTCTTCAAATTCTCGGCTGCAGTAAAGTTTAAAAAAATGGATATACAGACGAGTTCCGTTTGATATTAAAGCATCATGAACATAATTTATTATTGAAATGCTTACGCAATTCTGTGCGACCGGCATAGCCTAAAACGACAGACAAAAAGGACAAAGTTTTGAGTAAAATATGGCCAAACATTATGCATTTGAAAATGTCACATATGTACCTGGATTCATCTGGAAATAAAATAATATATGAATATAAAGTATAAAATTTCTCTTGTAATGTGCAATAATTACCGTGACAAAAAGTCCGACCGTCGGTACCAGTGAAATCATGTCGCCCATGAACATGAATGTCGATTTGTTATTCTGATTCCAATTCGATTGAATAATAAAATGAGATAGAAAACGTACAAAAAAAGAGAGAGTTATTAGTTTTTTTTACAGCCATCCAATTTGATTGTGTTATGCATCCAATTTCGAATATTTTATCATAATTCAATTTGTTGCCAATTTTTGTTCGAATGTCCAGACATACAAGCACATTGAAATGTATAATCGATATTTCATCGAGAAGAGAGAGTTACCTTATCTCTAAGTGTGACGAAGTGTCGTCCACCCTTTATTGTGGCGTGTGTTCATTTTGAATATAAATTAAGAGTCAAGCGATAAACTACAATCGTATAAGTTAATTTGAATTTACCTTGATTGCATCTTGTATGCACTTGACCTGCACGGCCACCACCGAAAGCACTTCAACGGAAATTCGATTGAATTCTATGTAAAACACAAACCATATCAACATTTATTTCGAATTTTAAAATCAAGTAATTTTCTTTCAATTTTAATTTTATTTTACATAGCAAATATCCTTTGATTACCATCAAAAATACCAAATGCCCCAGATGAGGCCAAACCTTTATAAATTTGGCCACATGATTTATAGTCCATTTGTTCGGAACAATTGAAAACATAAACCATCATTCCCAAGCCCTTTGCCAAGTCTTTTGTTGTTTCGGTTTTTCCAGTTCCACTTGGGCCGGCTGGAGCACCACCATGAATCAAATGCAGCGACTGTCATCATCAATAAATGATAAAAAGCATAAGAATCAATTGTTCATTCGTTATAGTAAAGAATGTTTTCGAAATGCAGAAAAAAGGGGTACAAAGGTAAAAGACTTCAAAGAAAACAAAATTCCATTCACTATTTTTCTAACAAATCTTCTTTTATTCAAACGAAATCTACCTGTGTCAATGTGATATAGCATCTGTCAGTCAATGGTGTGATTACGAGACGAGTTCCAATTCCCAAATATTCATAATCATATTTAAATTCAGCATCGCAAATATTCACATAGCAATCATCATCGATGCGATCCCATCGATGTCGTAATTGGCATTGCCATTGAAATTCATAGCTTTTGGTCACTCTTTGTGAAATCATTTTTGCAACCACATCACGTGAATGCACATCAATCGTACAAATAGTCATAATTTTTTGTCGATCACCGCTGCTCAAATCGCCCAAAAGTAAATTTATCAGCGCATTCAATTGTGAAATTTGCTTTCGTTGGTAGTCTTTCATCGCATTTTCATAGCCTTCTTCAATTTTTGTGAAAATTTCATTGATTTCAATCGACCAATAGATTTGTGATATACACAGTGCAACCTTGATGAGACGATGAAAAAGTATAGAGAGAGAGAGAGAGAGAGAGAGAGAGAGAGAGAGAGAGAGGGAGAGAAAAGCAACAAACAATCATTTTCATGTTCACACAAAAAATCAGATATTGTTTTTGACATGCGATTCAAAACACCCACACGCAACAAGCATATGCATACCTGAGCTGGCCAATCTAAAATCCATGTGTCACGTGCCTTATCTTCATATGATTCAATGGACTGGGCAAATAAACGATTTAATGTATAGCGCATGATGTTGGTCACGCGATTCAACCAATCTTCAACCTTACCATTACAATTACATTGCTCACAAAAGGCAACATATTCATCGTGATCTTTTGAATACATTCCCAATGCCATTTTACTATTATCACATAAATCGGATGAATCTTTATATTTCAATAAACGGATGGAATCATATAATTTGGGCAAATGGCGACCGACTATCAACGGATCATTGCTATTCGATAAAATATCTAATAAATCAACGGATGAGATAAAATAAAATCGAGGATATACCAAACGTTTTGTTTCAAGATAGTCGTTCAATGCTTTTTCGCATAATATTAATTCCGATAAGATTTCTTCCATTCGACGGTGTAGCCCATCATGATTTGTTACGACCAGCACATTTGGTTCATTCAATATCATTTCACGTATTTCATTAAATGTACAATTCGTTTTCATAAAACGCTTCGAATCGATTGGCAATTGCTTTCGAATATCTTCCGAACCGGAAAATATACTCTCCAAATAAATCCATTTTCGTTGAACTTCCGACCATGTGATTATTATTGTGTCGGCCATACCAAGTTTGTGTACCCATCCTTTAATTTCTTTTTCAAAAAATGACATATACTTTGATGTGGCCATATTTTGAATTTGCACTTGATTCTCTTCCAATTTTTCGATCAAATCTTCCGACACTTTCACCATTTTTATACCATTTGTATGCTCTTCAGAGTCAAATGTAAGAGTTGCCCATTGTGCTTCAATTTCTTTTAATGTTTTTTCCATTTGCATTTCCTTTACCGCTTTGTCCACCGTTTGTTTTACTTCATCTTCGAATTCGTGCAAACCCAAATTCAGCAAATCCGATAACGTCGTTGACTTGTTTAGACGAATGTTCAACTATGTACAGAGCCGAAAATGTTTACAAAATATAATCGAATGCAAATTTAGTTTAGCGTAGCGCTTATCTGTATGCATTAAAAGTGCAAAAATTATTACCAAATAAATCATTCCAAACTTGGAGAATAGCTGTAAAAGATAAAATCAACAGCAATAAACACACATGAAACGTATGATCTCAAAGAGAGGTGAATATTATGCAATCATGCTTAAAAGTACATATCAGTGTTGTGCGGTAGAAGTGGGGAGGGAAAGACTCTACAACAACCCCCGGATTTTGAAAATTTCATTCGATTTCCTAGGGTTTTTTAAACTAAATTTTAAACATCAATCCCCTAACCACCCTACCATCAAACATCCAACCTTGCATACTAGGGTGTAGCATTTTTCAAAAAAAATAATGGCGAGGGTCATAACTTATGCTCTGGGGTCCACCAAACACGAATCAGTCACTTTTTTGAAAAAAAATTGAAAACTGGCGTGTCAGTGGTCGGTGAATGTATTACCATTTTGTAGCAAAATGACATTTTTTTGCCGACGTCGTATCTTCATGAAACTTTGTATATCTCATTTTTTGGCTAAAAAAATTGGTTTCTGAAAGTTTGAAGTATTTTCGTCGAAAAATAAGTGTACCTCCCGTACAAATTTTTCGATTTTT